CGGATGAGGTGAGAAGGGAGGGGGGTGGCGCAGTGGGTAGTGAGTCGGAAGTGGTCGAGTTGAGTTGGGAGGTTGACGAGTTGGGGGAGTTGGGGGGTGGGAGGAGAAAAAGAGGGGGTTGTTGGAGAAGAAGGGGAAGAGAGGTATCCAAGGGTGAAGGAGAGGAGGAGGAGGAGGAGGTAGGCGATGGGTTTGAGTAGTTTGAAGGCGGTGAGTTTCTTTTGGCGATCTTCTTTCATGGTGGGTGGTTTTGGGTTCATTGTGTTTGTAAGGCTAAAAGCTTAGGTTAGCTTGGCTTGGTTTTGAGAGAGAGAGAGAGAGACAGAGTCAGAGACTGAGAGACAGAGAAAAGAGAATGGAGAAGAGGAAGAGAGGAAGAGAATTAGAGACTGCGTTTCTGTTTGGTTGGGTCATATTTGCGAGCTTAGGATGAGGGTGGTGTAATGAAAACGACTGGAAAACGCCCCAAGGCCTGGTCTTCATCTTTACGTACTTACTCTGAGAGGTTGAAATTACTCAAATCAGGATGCATGAAATCCTCTCTACACGTGTCATTATCGAAATTGTACATTTTTTGGGTGACCCATATGTATCGAATACATCAACAATTTTGATAACAATTAAAATCTTTATGATAATGTGGTTTATATATAGAGTAATGCTACATTTATCATATTTTTATTTCACATTTTTATACTACATGATATGATATGTCCATATTATATGTCACATCAATCAAATCAATGAAGTGTATTTTAATTAAGACAATTAGAAAAACAAATACTGGAATAAATCATAAAAGAAAAGAAAATATAAATAATTTTAATTGATGTGGCTGTCCACTTCAGCTGCCACATAAGATAGTATAGGGATGTGCTAAGAGTAACATTATTCTTATATATATGATGTTAGCGAGATCGTAGCTTAATTAGGATATTTATTTCCTAATTTATTATAATTATATTTTTTTCCTTTTTGTACATATATTGTGTAATTAGGTTTTTATCTTGTTTCATAGTTTGACCCTACTAGGGTTACATCCTTGTACTATAAATACTTTCTTTTGAAGAATGAAATATAACCTGAAAACTATTATACCCATATTGTTTGACTTCGCATCAGAGCCAACTTTTCTAGTGACCTGTGTGTTGTGCCCACCCGTGTTCTATCCCCACATTTTTTTTTCTCTACCTGTGCCGTGTGTGCCCTCCTAGGTTTGTGTGTTGTGTTGTAGTGTTCGTGCCTCTACTGTGTTCGTGTCATTCATGTGTTCGTGCATCTGCCGTATTTGTGCATTTTCTGTGTTCTGCTGTATACTCTGCTGTGTTCATGTTTGTCTTCTTGCATCTGCCGTATTTGTGCCTCTGCTATGTTTCGTTGTATACTCTGCCGTGATCTGTTGAGTTTCTGCTGCAATCATGGGTGATAACTCAATTGTTGCTGCTGTTGCTGCTGTCTCTACAAATTTGTGTGTTTCTGATTCTATTCCAGGTACTGGCTCTAATACTTGGATAATTGACACTAGTGCTTCTGATCATATGATTTATGATGCTAAATATTTTGATGAGTTGTCTAGTAACACCCGTGACCCATACATAACTAGTGCTAATGGCTTGCCCTCTCCAATTACTGGTAAGGGCATAATCTCTCTCACTCCTACTCTGTCATTGTCTCTTGCGTTGCTAGTTCCCAATATCCATTGTAACTTGTTATCTGTTGGTTGATTACTTGATACACTTAATGTTTCTGCTACTTTCTATCCTACGCATTACTCTTTTTAGGATCTTAAGACTTACGAGATGATTGGGCATGGTAAACGGATAGGGGGGTTATATTATTTGACATTGCCTTCTGCACCAGTTCGTGAGCGTGTCGTTAATACTGTTCAAAGTTACAGTGTTAAAGACAAACAACAAATTTGATTATGGCATCGTCGCTTGGGACACCCGTCATTTGGCTACCTTAAGCGTCTGTTTCCATCTTTATTCCGCTCTTGTGATGAGTCCAGTTTTAAGTGTGAGACATGTATTTTGGCTAAGAGTTATCGTACTGTGTTTCCTTTGAGTGACAGTAAAGCTGCAAAACCTTTTGATTTAGTGCATTCTGATATGTGGGGTCCGGCTCGCGTTACTTCGAACGGGTTTCGTTGGTTCGTCATATTTATTGATAATTGTACCCGATTCACTGGGGTTTTCTTGTTGAAAAATAAACATGATGTTGCTTCCATCCTTCCAGAGTTCTATACTATGGTGTCTACTCAGTTTCATGCTCAGGTCAAAGTATTTCGGACTGATAATGGAGGTGAATATGTGAATAACACTTTGGCATCTTTCTTCCTTGCTCAATGTATTATTCACCAAACAACAACCTCATTTACTCCTTAGCAGAATGGTGTGTATGAACGCAAGAATCGTCAGTTACTTGAAGTTGCCTGCTCCCTTATGTTGGATATGTCTGTTCCCCATCATTTTTGGGGGCATGCTGTTTTGTCTACTGCATATTTAATTAATCTTACTCATAGCCGGGTTCTTGATTTCAAGACTCCACATGAGGTGTTTGATGACCATGTTTCTCCTGTCTCAGTCTTCAAATTGCCCCTTAAAGTTTTTGGGTGTGTTGCATATGTTCATGTCTACTCTCATCAATGGAGTAAACTTGATCATTGTGCTCTGCGATGTGTCTTTATTGGTTACTCTTCTACTCAGAAAGGTTATAAGTGCTATCATCCACCTACCCAGAAGGTGCATGTTACTTTGGACGTGACTTTCCATGAAGAAGTGCCCTATTATGTTTCTCATTCCTCTCCAATTCAGAGGGAGATGGGGAGTGAATTGGAGAGTCTTGAATTGGAGAATGATGTGTTTGAAGATACTGCTCTCAGGAAGGAAATGACCTATCGCACTGAACCAAGTGACCGGCTGCCCATATCTGAAGATGGAACTTGTGGTCCCTGTGAAGAAACGAGTGATCACCCTTTGGAACTCGACCAATCACCCATATTTGGAGATGAAGCAAGTGCTTTCAGTGTCGAAACGACTGGTCACACTGAAGCAAGTGACCAGTCGCCTGTATCTAAAAATAATGACAGTGATTCTTGTATGGATGAGTTCGATGCAATACCCCCCTCTGCCCTACCAATGCCCCAATCTATTTGTGATAGTGAATCAAGTGAGGTAATTTCTAATGATCTATCTGTGTCAACTTATCAGTTACCCCCACGAACTACCCGTGGGAAACCTAAAGTATAATATTCTCCTGATATACATACCAAGTCTAAATATCCCATTAGCCATTATGTGTCAACTCATTGTTTGTCTAAGTCATACGCATCATATTTGTGTAAATTATCTAGTGTTTGTGTGTCAACTGAGCTGCAGGATGCTTTATCTAACCCCAAATGAATGGATGTCATGAATGTTGAAATGGATGCCTTGAACAAGAATAAAACATGGGATTTAGTTCTTTTGCCACGAGGGAAGAAAGCTGTTGGATGCAGATGGGTGTTTACTTTGAAACATAAAGCTGATGGTTCCATTGACCGTTACAAGGCTAGATTGGTAGCAAAGGGTTATACTCAGACCTATGGAGTGGATTATTTGGAGACTTTTGCTTCAGTGGCAAAGCTTAATATTGTGCATGTACTATTGTCTCTGGCTGCTAACCACGACTGGCCCTTATTACAGTTCGATGTCAAAAATGCGTTTCTACATGGTGACCTCAAAGAGGAGATTTACATGGATCTCATTCCTGGTATTTCTGTAACCTCTCCGGAAGGTGTTGTGTGTAAGCTGCGGAAGTCTTTATATGGATTGAAGCAGTATTCAAGAGTGTGGTTTGGGAGATTTGCAGTATTTATGAACAAATTTGGGTATGTACAGAGTAACTCAGACTATACTTTGTTTTTAAAGCGTCATAAAGGTAAATTGACAGTTTTAATTATTTATGTTGATGATATGATTGTGACTGGAGATGATCAGGCAGAAATGCAAAATCTTCAGAAGTATCTGACTTCTGAGTTTGAGATGAAGTCATTGGGTGATTTGAAGTACTTTCTTGGGGTTGAAGTTGCCAGATCTAAACATGGTATCTTTTTGTCTTAAAGAAAGTATATTTTGGATTTACTTGCAGAGACTGGAATGTTAGATTGTAAACCAATTGATACTCCTAGTGAACAGAATCATAAGTAGGGGTTGTATCCTGATCAAGTATCTACAGATAAAGAGCTTTATCAACGACTTGTGGGGAAATTGATTTATTTATCTCATACACGTCTTGATATTGCATATGCAGTGAGTGTAGTGAGTCAGTTTATGCATTCTCCTAGTGAAGATAATATGGGTGTTGTGATGCGCATCTTGAGGTATTTAAAAGTAACTCCTGAAAATGGGTTAATGTTTTGCAAGTATGGTCATACAGATGTGGAAGGGTATACGGATGCTGATTGGGCTGGTTCAGTCACTGATAGACGTTCTACGTCTGGGTATTTTACAGTTGTTGGTGGTAATCTTGTTACTTGGAGGAGTAAAAAGTAAAAAGTGGTGTCTAGGTCTAGTGCCGAGGCTGAGTACCGTGGAATGGCTCAAGGTGTGTGTGAGTTACTATGGTTGAGAAGATTGTTGAGAGATCTTGGATTTGGACCCTGGAAACCCATGAATTTGTATTGTGATAATAAAACTGCAATTGCAACATGATCGTACAAAGCACGTGGAGGTTGATCGACATTTTATTAAAGATAAGTTAGATGCTGAAATTATTTCTTTTCCGTTTATATCATCTGAGTATCAACTGGCAGATGTTCTTACGAAAGTTGTGTCTATTACGGTCTTTCTCAACTCGCTTGACAAGTTAGGCATGCGTGACATCTTTGCTCCAACTTGAGGGGGAGTGTTAGCGAGATCCTAACTTAATTAGGATATTTATTTCCTAGTTTATTAGGATTATATTTCTTTCCTTTTTGTACAGATATTGTGTAATTAGGTTTTTATCCTGTTTCCTAGTTTGACCCTACTAGAGTTACATCCTTGTACTATAAATACTTTCTTTTGGAGAATGAAATATAACCTGAAAAATATTCTACCCATATTGTTTGACTTATGAATCACTAAAACAATTTTCAATTAATTTAATTTTTGGAAGAACGATTATTATTATTATTATTATTATTTAAGAAGTGCATATTTACATAATACTTTTACAACTGGCCAATATATAACACAAATATATATTGACTTTATTATCCATGTGATTCGAACTAGAGGTGTCAAACGGGAGGTGTTGGGCCAGCCAGACCAGTTTAGAGTCGGCCATTTTAATAAACAGGCCATGCTGGACTAGCCCATTTAGGAAAATTATCAATTCCGGTCTAAGTCCATATAGACTCGAGCCGTGCTCATGTCGGGCCACTAAACGAGCCAAGACAAAATTTTAATTCGTCAATGATTGTCCTTTTCAAGATTAATTCAATATGTTAGAATTAGTTGACCGGAGAAAAATAAAAAAATTGAATGAAAGGTAGCACTTGGCTGAAACTTAAGGTTAATTGTGTTGTGAATACTTGGCGGAGAAAAATCAATAAGCTTACGTGGAATGTGGACTAGTAGGAGACGAATCGTGTTTTTGACAGGCGATGATCCGAAACTCGTTAATTTCTCATAAGAATTAATTATGATATCCAACAAGAACAACTGGTCCCTTATCAAGCCAGTCAACATAAGTAAGATTTGTGATATTGGGGGGATGAATGTCTTGGAAAATTGGAAATTTGCGAGGTAAGTTTCAAGTACATTTCGACAACATATGACCTATGTTGCACGGACACTCCAAACTGCTGGAGTGTCGGAGTGTCGGACACGCCGACACGTCGACACGGCTCTGACACGCATTGGACACAGTCAACGGTTGGGACACGGTCAAAACACGGCTCCGACACGGTCAAGACACGGTAGGGACCAGTTTGAAAATTTCAAAATAAAATCTGAGGTCTAAACGTGATTTTTGAAACTTTTGGTGGACTGATTTGAAATATTTTTAAAAATAGGGGCTAAAAGTGGGAAAAGACTTTTTTATACCTAAATCTCACTTTTTTCCGCTGCCAAAGTTTATTTCCTCCATCACAGCTCTTCTCCTCCCCTTCTCCTGGTTTTGCACAAGGTAACTCTCTTTGCAATTATTTTTTTTCTCTATTTTCAAATGCATTTATTTATGTTCTCTATTTTTTTTTCTTATCTCCCTCCACAGCAATAGAAGAGTTGGACTTGGTGGTGAGGTGACAATTCTTTCTTATGTTTTTTTTAAAGAGAAACACAACAAATAATAACAATAACAATGAAGACATAGATGCTTGAAGAAGATTCAGAGTTAGATCATTTATGTTTTATTTTGTGGTCTATTAATTATTATGTATGGATGATGAACATGAGTTATTTGTTTTGTTTTATGGAATTATGTGACATTGAAGTATTAAGAATAAATTATTTTTTTAATTGCCGTGTCCTAACCGTACCCCTGTCCTAATTTTTTGAGATTTTCCGTGTTGTCGTGTCCCTGTACTCGTGTCCATGCAACATATATGACTAGTATTTCCCCGGAGAAACTTGTGAAGGTGAGGGAGTAATTTCATTGCACGCTGCGGTCAAGTCAATTACAACCTCTTGGTCTTTGGTCTTGACTCAAGTCTACGGCTAGGATTTTTTTTATCCAAAACCCACTTCTCCTCATGCGCGCATCAGGCCTATCAAATATGCATTTATCAAACACAAGCAGAGCAAGTCTCACCAAAAAATTAAAAAGAGAGTAAGAGAGCTATGATTTAAATGCAAAAACTATAGCCAAAGCTACCCTTTTACTATTATTACCATGTAAGCTTGCCAAGGCAAAATAAATAAGTTCCAATATTTATACTCCAACCTCGGCGGCAGCATTTAACAAGTTCCAAGTATTTGTCCCCTCTTTGGGTCTGAAAGTTCAAACATTTGTCACATGCAGTTTTTTTTCCCTATTCTTAAAAAAAAAAAAAAAAAAAAAAATCCAAAAACGAAGAAAATAAATGCCCACATACGGTACAGGGGGATGCGAGGGCGCTATTTAGCGGTAGGAGTATGACGGACCAGCAAAAGCATAAGGAGATGAAACTGGCGCAGGCAATGCATCAGCCTTGGTTGCCTGGTAGTTTTCTGTCCGGTTATTACCGGATGCAGCATCAGCAGGAGCAGCATGCATTGAGTATAGTCTCTCTCCTTAGCACAGGATCAGTCTCAATCAGGTAGTTCTCTCTCCTACCACCAACAACATGTGTTGAGTATAATCTCTCCACATGATCAGTTTCTCTCCTCACAGGATCAGTTTCAATTAGATGATTCTCTCTCTGGGGTGCCCGATATGGGTCCAATGATGAAGAACCATAATAGGAGTAGCCGTATGGATCCCTTGCATACGCATCTACAGCAATAGCAGAAGTTGCAGGTGGCAACTCATGTCTAGCACCGTGAGTATAAGCGGGTAATCTCTATCATTCAAGTAGAGAGGATCGGAATGAACATTTTCTCGATGTGCAGGAACAGCCTCCCCGTAAATGAGGTTTGGCTGTCTTGCAAGATGCTCTCTTTCATACTCTCTATGAAGAGCTTCCAGAGCTGGAGGAACGATACGAGGAGACACGTTTCTTTTCTCTCCCGAAGACCATAAGCTCGAAATTCCTTTTCAGTAAGGTATAAATCATGAGAAGTTTCCTCTCTCCTTAAAGATGCCATATCTCAGTATGCAACACGCTGGTCCCTTTCATGAGCTAACACTGGATAACTCCTAGCATCACCATTGGCAGAAGGATATCTAGCGTGTGCATTCCTGTGGGCATGTGGCAGCTATTCCCTAGCTCCTTCATGAACTCCCTGATCCTGAACTTTAGCCTGGACTGGAGAATGAGTGGCTAGAGCAGTTGAATGGACTTGAGCTGGTCGGAAAAGTGATGTGAGCTTCCTGACCTGAAAGGAAAATATTGGATATTATTACTTTAGCATATGCAAAGAAACAACGATCGCTTACTCCAAGAAAACTTAATAGAAGGAAGGGAGGCGCATTATCTCACTTGTGGAACTGTAAGTTCTGTTTTGAACTTCTTTTTCTCATTATAGTTTTCTTGTATTGCCTTCTTGAAAACACTCTCGGGTAGAGGAAGACAATCTTTCTCTGCGTTGAACCGCACCTAAAGTTTTCAAGTCATCAGCATACATGTCTGGTTAACTAAACAAAGCAAATAAGGAGAGATAGATCTAAGAAAATGTGACCTGAGCAGGGAAGGCCCCGCCAAATGCTTTTGGCCACCTGAAGAGGATGCTTTGTAAACCACATACAAAAGCTTAAGATCAAAATCAAAGAGAAAAAGCTTCAACCCAGTTTTGATACCCAACACAAGGTCTGTTTTACCCATTGAAACACCCTTGATATGCCTTTATAATCACAAATAAGAGTTCCATACAAAAGCTCCCACAGCGTCCAAAGAAAAGTAAATTCAAAGGAGAAAGAAAAACCAATTCAGTCAAGATAAACTTTAACATCAATCCCACTATCAATGAGGGATTGAACAACTGCCCTAATCTTCCCTTCAAACTTGTCCCTGTCCCTGGGAGTATAAGAAGCAGTGTAGACATCAGCTTCTCTTGCCCTATCAGCCAAGATTTGGCCTACGGCCAAACAGGCTGGTATGTCGCACCGAGACTTGAGGACGGCCTTAATGTCTTTGGAGTTGGTACCAGCAACTGCAACCTGCTTGCATGTCACTCGGTGGGTGATTGAGGCCGAAACAAACCGCTTTGAGATGAACACATCAAGTGTAAATGGTTCAATGTAGGCTATGGTGCGCTGTTTGAATGATACATGTTTTTGTGGATTTTTGGATATCTTCTCTTTCTGGTAAGTGTATGGCCGGCTATTGTTATCATCAAGGAAATCCTCTACCCCGAAAAAACTTCTCTGTGCACAATGAACCTATAAATTGCATAATTAGATGGCAGTTGGCTTCATCAAAAAGTTTCGAAAGGAAAAACTAGCAAATCTTCATGGCATCATGCAAGCATAAAAAGATGTTCAAACGTGCTTCTTCAACCCAAATACAATCCAAAGACTTTATGATGTCAAAATTCCAGAACATAAGAAATATGGAAACTGGGAAATTGGGATTTGAAGAGTACCTGTCCACTGTGGAAACCACTGGTGGGCACATACAGGCAAGGCAGAACTCTGTTTCCTCCATACACATGAACCCCTTTGTTCCACACCTTCCCAAAGACATGCTTCAACATTTTTATTTTCCTTTTTACTTGCACGCAAGACACCTTGATGTAGAATGATCCTAGTTCTGTTTAATAAGCTGAAAAAAAAAATTACACAACCACCAAAGAAAGAAGCTTAGAACAACAGGTTACAGTCACTTAGTTGATGCATTACGTCCAAAAGGTGTTAGGCAATGGAAGATATACAAAAACGTCAAAAAGGAAGAAGCTTTGTTTCCAATTTTATTCCCATTTATGTGAAACACGCAAGAACCACTGTTATTACTTATGAGTATCGAGCAGGAGCAGCATGCATTGAGTATAGTCTCTCTCCACGATCAGTTTCTCTCCTTAGCACAGGATCGGTTTCTCTCCATGCGATTAAAATAATATAAATAGAAAAATTGATATTTCATCCATAATAAGTTCATAAAGGAGCATTATCATTCTCCTCATTCTCTCCATCATTATTATTACTAGTATTCCCATCACTAGAACTATAACCCACGCTATTTATTTCCTGTGAATCAAATGAAGTTTGATAAAAAAAACAATTAATAGATATACAAAACAATTATACAGCCAAACCCACCCCAATTATATACACAGACAGCCATCCCCACCCCAATATTACCGAATACCCATATACCCATTATCTAATTAACAACACAGCAAGAATAAGAGAAAACCTTGAGGAGCGACGGCAGAGGTGGCGACGGCGACGGCGATTGAATCTGAGGTGGCGACGGCCCGACAGCGATTGGTGGTGGTGGGTTCTTCTCTTCCTTCTTCTTCTTCTTCTTCTTTTTTGGTTGCCGTTGAATCCCAAATGACATAGCCAGGCAGGGTCTTTGAATTCTAGGTTTTAAGTTTGCATTTTAACCCCAAATATTCAAGATATCTTCGTTTTTCACCCCTTGACGTATCGCGACTGTATCGGTGGAGTATCGGCTATACTAATTTTTTTTTAAAAGACCCCAGTACAGCCGTGCGGCTATACTAATTTTTTAATAAAAAAATCCCTAGCATAGCCGTGCAAAAAAGGGCCTAGCGCTTAGCGATTGGGCGCCACGTATAAAAAACGTATCGCCGCCTGGCTATACTATTTATAAAAAATTAAAAACAACCCCAGTAACGCCGGGGGGCTATACTTAATTTTAAAAAATCCCGAGTATAGCCGCGCGGCTATACGCGGAACCTGCCAAGAGAGTTGGTGGCACGAATAGTATAGCCGTTCGGCTATACTATTTATAAACAAAACTAAAATGGAGGCCCCGGTAAAGCCGGTCGGCTATACTCATTTTTTTCACGTGGCGTATCGGTGTCGTATTGTATTGGCGCCGTATTCGATGATACTCGCATACCCCAGAAATCTGGTATATCGGTGCAACAGAGCTCCTTACTGATGGCACATCCCGGTATGCAACACGCTGGTCCCTTTCATGTGCTAACACTGGATAACTCCTAGCATCACCATTGGCATAAGGATCTCTAGCATGTGAATCCCTGTGGGCATGCGGCAGCGATTCCCTAGCTCCTTCATGAACTCCCCGATCCCGAACTTTAGCTTGGGCTGGAGAGCGAGTGGCTAGAGCAGTTGAATGGAGTTGAGCTGGTCGGAAAAGTGCCGTGAACTTCCTGACCTGAAATGGAAAATATTGGATATTATTACTTCAGCATATGCAAAGAAACAATGATCGCTTACTCCAGGAAAACTTAATAAAAGGAAGGGGGCACATAGCATTATCTCACTTGTCGAACTGTAAGTTCTGTTTTGAACTTCTTTTTCCCATTATAGTTTTCTTGTATTGCCTTCTTGAAAACACTCTCATCTCAGGTAGAGGAAGACAATCTTTCTCCACGTTGAACCGCACCTAAAGTTTTCAAGTCATCAGCATACATGTCTGGTTAACTAAACAAAGCAAACAAGGAGAGATAGATCTAAGAAAATGTGACCTGAGCAGGGAAGGCCCCGCCAAATGCTTTTGGCTCGAGTTTTAGTCCACCTGAAGAGGATGCTTTGTAAACCCCATACAAAAGCTTAAGATCAAAATCAAAGAGAAAAAGCTTCAACCCAGGTTTGATACCCAACACAAGGTCTGTTTTACCCATTGAAACACCCTTGATATGCCTTTATAATCACAAATAAGAGTTCCATACAAAAGCTCCCACAGCGTCCAAAGAAAAGTAAATTCAAAGGAGAAAGAAAAACCAATTCAGTCAAGATAAACTTTAACATCAATCCCACTATCAATGAGGGATTGAACAACTGCCCCCTTCTGTTTTTGTCGGCTCTTTTCGGATTTGTCAATCTTTCCTGGATTCTTTTGAGCCTGATGGCTCTTCTCGGCATGCTCTCCATTCGTGATATTCTGATTCTCTTGTTTCTCTCTTTTTGAATTCATCTTCTTGGCATCTTCTTCTCTTTTGTTGCTACTCTCGTTGTTACCCCTATTCCGCCTCCGTTTCCTCCCATTAACCTGTGAGCTAGTTGTACCTTTGCTCGTTTTCAAGCTGTTATGAATGGAGTTTTCTTCACTATTTTAGCTTTGCCCTTCAATGATCTTGGGGTTTTCTTTCCAGAGTTGGATGCTTCTGCAGGAGAGGCAATTTTCTTTTCAGTTACATCAGGTTTATTAGACACTTCTGCAGGAGAAGACATTTTCATTTCAGCTGACTCAGGTCCACTGAACGCTTCAGCAGAAGAGGTCTTCAGTTCAGATGAGTCATGGTTTTTTGGATGCTTCCGCTGGAGAGGGGATTTGTTCGGATGACTCTGTTTGTTGGATGCTTCTGCAGGGGAAGGGAATTACTCAGATGACTCTGAATTATTCAACACTACTGCAAGACTATTTATCTCCTTCCTGTTACCTGTTTCCATATAGTTATCATCTAGTTCCATAGTATATGCCATACGATCAGGATCACAAAGCCAAATGTATCCTGAAAACAATACTTTAAAAAAAAAAAAAAAAAAACAATCACAGTAAAGCCGATCGGCTGTACTAGTCTTTTTTTACAAATTCCGCGTATAGCCGGTCGGCTATACTACTTATAAATAATAAAAAAGCTTAAAAAAATAATGTATGTATGGAAACAGTATAACCATTCGGCTATACTATCTATGAAAAAACAAAAATACAGCCAAAAAGAACCCCTAAAGCCCGGCGGGTGTACTTTTCTTTTTAAAACCCGAGTATAGCCGTACGGCTGTACTATTTATAAAAAAGGCCGGCCCGCCTACGCCTAGAGATTCGGCGGCACGTGTCAATAAGGGACCTGACTTGCGCCTAGCGCCAGCCAAATGATTCGGCGGCACGTGTTCAAACAGTACAGCGTCTATACCCTTTAAATATATTATATTTAAAAGACATATAGCCGAACGGCGATACTATTTATGAAAAAAAAAAAAAAAACTCTAAAAAAGGAACCTAGTAAAGCCGATCGGCTAGACTCATTTTCTATATAAAAAATTCCCAGGTATAGCCGCGCGGCTATACTATTTATTAAAAAAAAAACACCCGTCTAGCTGTTAGCGATTCGGGCGACGTGTCAAAAAAAGTAAAGCCGGACGGCGATACTATTTATACAAAAAATGTAGTGATTTATTTTGTTTTCTATTAAAAAGAGTAGGATGCAGGAACAACATAACTAGAAAGGAATCAATCAACATGAGAAAGAAAAGGAAAAGAAATGAATGTAAAAGCAGCTTCCATACTTCACTCTGTTCTGGCAATACATAAAAACTTAAAACGGCATTGAAATTATTTCTTTCAAAGGCAATACAGTAAATCCGTGGAGGCACTTTAGCTAAGTGGGAAGGTATCAGTTTCAATCCAAGAATCACTGAAATTTAAATCCCCTTTTTAACATTTCGGTGCACAATACAGAAGAGGTTTCTACCTTCATGCCCTTGTCTTTTGTTTTTCAATTAGTTTCAATACTGAAAAAACTCTAACCGTAGAAGTACAAATCCCAGAAGGAAAAATGATGGATGGTCCTTTAGGTTCCAACCAACTGGAAACAAATACAAGTAGACCCAAATGCTAACTGGTTTGCAGGATGATCTTTAAATTGTGATTTAGACAATGAACGGTTCCAATTATGACACGTGCATGGTGAAGATTCGTTAATCGTAATGAGAGGGAAAAGAAATGTGCACTTGTTTGTATATAATAAGGGTTTCTTTTGTTATTCTTCGGCTTCGAAAATAAACAGAATTTGGGTCTAATGGATAGTTTGGGTATGGTTTAGGTCGCATTCATTCCTTGTCTTTGTTTCCTTTTCTGTTCTTAACTATCTATCCATGAAAATGTCAACCCCACAAAATGTGCTTAAGCCCCATTGTTATTCTATTTATTTTACCATGCTAGTTAACCCTAAAATTATCTAAGGGTCTAATTCATTTCAAAATATGTTTTTTTTATTCAGTCCTTGGGTAGTACCAAAATCATTATTGCCCCTCTCCAGAAAAATTCCTGGATCCGCCACTGCACTGTTATTCTATTTATTTTGGGGTTGAAGTTAGTAATTATAATATAAGCATCATGCCTAAGATAAATATGTTGTGCACAGATACATTTCTATCTCCCCAAATTAAAAAGGGCTTAAGTTCTAAATATATAAGCTCAACATTATTCTCTAAGTATATAAATATGTGAGTTCAACATCTCAATTATAAAAAAGGGAAAGGAAAAGGAAAATCAAGATTTCAATGTCCATCAACTTTATTGTTATTTATCTTTAGTATTCAGACGTGACCACCACCTATATTCACCACCCGAGGGCTTTCTCTGTTTTTGCGAAAGGAAAGGATAAGTATAGAGGAAGAAAAAGAAACCAACGGTCGTAACTCTTCTTCCAAATTCAATATTGTGATTCTCTCTTATATCACAAGACGGCAGAAAACCAAAAAGATGTTGCTAGTGGACTGCCTCTACAATCCTGCATGGGAACAATGCCAAAAATTGTAGGCAATGAGGACTGAGAGAGTAAAACTTGAAAATTGAATTCTAATCGATCCTTTTGGACATTGCAAATGAGAACGCCCAGTTGACAAACCGGCGAGGCAATACAAAACCTTCAACGGCCATCTATGAGTTACAAATTGCTAAGAAGAGTTCATACACATACCAACAGGAAAACAAACTACCAGCAAAACTTGTAATAGGATCAGAATTTGTGGCGCATGCTGCACGCATTTATGAGTTACAAATTGACAGACATCCAAGTACACGTGTTTCCATCTCTAAGAGCCCTTAGAATCAAGTCTGTCTTTTCTTTCACCACCTGTTTCATCTGATGCCAGGATCCATTCCATGCAAAGGAACTTACAACACGACTCACCTACCTAATCACTTTAAAGACTAAGGAGAACTTTCGCTGCTGTTTGCAATCTGTCAAAGATTACTGAGCAAAGCAGCTACTTTAGGAAAACACCTACTATCAACAGGCACATGTTTCCATGTGGAATCATCCATAAGAACATGTCACTTTCCATCTTCTCCATCACCATTGCCATGCCCGCCGGCTGAGCTCCCCTGGCCATCACCACCTGTCCCAGCCTCTGAGTTGTCTTGCTTGCTTCCTCCACGCCCATCGTTTGGACCCCCTCCAGCTGAAGTTGGGCCACCACTACCACCACCAAGTGTGGCTTCAGTATGATGCATGGAAGGCATGCCATTGGCCCCTCCAGCTCTCATTCCCATTTGCCCTTGCATGGCTTGTTGGTGCTGCTGGTGTAGCTGCTGTGCTGCATCATGCATTTGGTGCGGGTTATTAAAATGCAATGGCATCTTTGGGGGGAAAATACCCTGTTGCTGAGCCATTGCTGC